TAGCTTAATCATCTTACAATCTAAATATATAAAAGAAGTACCCCAGTATTCACATAATTTACAAATTCACCCCACTTTGGAACACTCGCGCGATCACGCGATGCTTCGACAAACATCTTCGTGATTCTTCATTGTTCCGAGTTTTTAGCTATTTGGTATGTACTGAAGCCGCAACGCAGATCTGGCATGGGAATAATACAGCCAGAAAACGGTGTCGTTTTGGTATATATAATACGTAGTAATTAATTAATTACTCCGTAAATTTTAATTTTTAATTTTTAATTTTTAAATTTCTTTCCCTTACGCCAGTCTTCAACGCAGCTCCAGGCTCCTGGGCTCCTCTAGAGTCATTCATCTTCTTCAACCTTATACCTCTCGAAGCTCTTCCGTGCCTCCGTCGACTCTGCTCACTGCCGCAGCTCCATCGCCCTCCGATTGTCGATTCTTCGTTCACTGCTCCACCGTCGTCCGGCAACACTTGCAGCTGCTCAGGTTCGAACCAATCTTCAGCCTTATTCTCTTAACTAGTTAAACCTAATTCCATAAATTATAAATCCCTAATTCCATAAATATTGTATAATATATCTAGCAGAACACAGAAGCTAGAATTTTCTATTCAGTAACTCTGTATATTTTCTAATGTATTCTCTGTCTATTTTCTGTATACTTCCCCAATTTTTTCAATTCACAGAGTAAATGCTTTTAACAACGACCGTTTGTATTTCAGTTAAGGATATTTTCAGCTATTGAATTTGATACTGAAGAGAATTGCTGGTTGAACAAAGGACATTACCTTGCATAGAAATGAGTAACTCAGCAGCGGGGCAATCGTCAAAAGCAAAAGTTGGAGCATCCCAGCCATCAGAAGGTTCATTTAAACGTAAACGTGGAATGTTTCAGAAGGATTGTGAGTTATCTTTTCCATTGAAAGTAACTCAACTTAGATAATTTAACTGCCTGCATTGTGTGACTTACCCACTTCTTCGATGGTGATGTCCAGTGCAGCATATGATGTATGGATTTGGAGATGATCAACATGTATGTATACTTTTTCTCAGCCAGCTTCTTTGAAATATGTACCGTGAATTTTTCCTGTGGCCATTATCAAATTTTCATATTCAACTTTCAAAGCATTCATTGAATGGGAAATCATATCTTTAAGATTGTTTATTTATTTAATAATTATTGCATGTCTTGCAAACCCAATTTTATGCACTTATGCTATAATATGGTTCATCTTATTTCAAAATTCAAATTGAACAATTACTGCTTTATTTCAGCCACTTCCAGAGACTGTTGCACTTGTGGAGGACATTGTTGTGGAATATGTCACAGATATGGTGAGTAAAAATAACTTTTATCCATATGCTATTTTCACCTGGAATCTTCTGAGCTCCCATGTTTACTGAGGCACCCCATAAGGAAGATGTGTATTTTATTTCCTAAACAATTTGTAATTGTTAACATGAATTTAGAATGTTTCTTTTTATTGTCTCTAGGTGCACAAAGCTCAAGATTTTGCAACGAAAAGAGGGAGGCGTATGACAGAGGATTTTCTGTTTTTGATTCGGAAGGTAGATCTTCTGTGCCTATGCATATTAACAGAGTTGTTAACTTGTTACATGAAAGTTCACTTAGAAGCACATTTTTGTGGTATCTTCTTTGTGTAAGCTTTTTAATGGTTAATTGTCATTCTGTTGTGCTCTATTCTATATGTGCTTTGAATATGTGTAGCTAAAGTAATCCTGAAACCGAATTGTTTCAACTTCTAGACAAATACAACACGGTGTTTAGGTAGCCTCCCAAAGTTTTTTAAATAACTGAACTATCTTCAATATAATACCATCATGACAGTAAGGTTAGCTTGCTGAGTTTCTTAAATATGTTAACAGTTTCCCCAATTGTCCTGTTTGTTTCTCACCTGTGCCACACTGCCACTAGGAGGCTGGAGTTTGAGATAAAGGAATGTGAGACAAGAAAAGAAAAACGGAGAGAAAAGGAATAGTTCTATGAAATACCCTAATGGCCCATGTCATGCCACATTTAATAAATGTGCTTAATGTTTCCAATATATTGCTGGAAATTGACATGGGGATCTAAATGAAACAGAAATCATACATTTGCTACGATATTGAAACTATTAAGAAATCGTTGAGCAAATTGAAACATAGCTTAAATTTTTAAGACAAGCGAAATTTATTCCAACCCAAGATAATTGAGGTCATGTTTTAAGTGTTTCAACCAATCTCTGTTTGTGCCTTCTCTTGGGGTAATAGATAAGTTAGTAAAAAGGGTACCAAAATATAAAAAGAAACTGATGCTGATGTATCATGTCTGCTTTGTTGCATTATGACAATAAGTGGAATATTCAATTACAATCTTGGAGAACCTCTATGTGACCATAAGCAATGAGTCTCCTGAGAGTATCCAGAAAACATAGGAAGTCAAAATCCATTAACAACTTAAATTATGTCTGTAGGGGTTTCCTTTAGGAAAATGACAATGTCATCGTTTCAATGTAGGCATGTTTAAAAGCAAAATTTTTCCTTCACCTTCTGGTTTTTTCCCAAAATTTAGGTGAGAAGGGGGTGGGGGAGGAGTTGGGTTGTATTGAGGCCTTTACACGTCTACATGCCTTTGCTTTTCTGAATTTTGAAGATGTCTGTGTGGGGGAAGGAGCTATTCGTTGAATTTGTGAAGTTGATTTACTTTTTCCCTTGTACTCATTGGTGCTTTGAAAAAATTTAGAAACGTTTCCAAGTCTTGAAGTATAGTTGAGTTAGTGGAGAAGAGTGATATAGATGTATCGTGTATGGTTCTAAAAATTACTCCGTATTATGTTTACACAATGATTTTTTTTTTTTTTAACATGTTTCATCAACAATTAACCATCAGACTAAGAAATAAACATGGAATATTAGTATTAGACAAGAACTATGAAGATTAGAATCAACAAATAATTTTTTTTTTAAAGGTGATATGCTCCTGATTCCTTATGTCCTACTTTCCTTTGTTCTATTACATCTTTGAAAGGTGGACAGTATTTTCATACATTTACTCAGCTGATGTGAAATTGTAGCATATTTCTACTTTTTAGTTCTCAAGCTTTTGGAGGTGCCAGCTCTTACTACCCCCCCCCCCCCCCCCCAACCCCACCAAAAAGAGCACCAGTTCCATTTTTCATCATTTTTTGGAACGTAGAACAAATTTAACCAGTTTGCCTATAATATTATTGTTCAGGACTTTCCAAAACTTAACCGGTGCACAGAGTTGTTGTCCATGAATGAGGAACTGAAACAAGCCAGGAAGGCCTTTGAGGTTGATGAAGAGAAGCTGGCAACACTTGAATAGTCTATGAAGCTCTGTTCATTTTGCTTTCTGGCTCTAATGCAGGATGTAACTTGTGGTTGTACTAATGGTAGATAATGTTCTCAATCCAGTTTGCATTGTATGAGTACCTTTGTTTGTCACATATGAGAATTGAGACATGCTACTGCTGAATATATACTGTTATCCTAAGATTGATTGCCCCAATCCTAGTTTTCTTCACATCAGTACATCAATTTCACATTACTAAGTAGAAATAACATACTAAAGTGAAAATCAAATAAATTAAGGATATTTTTTTTTTTAAGAATGAATAAAAAAGTATCATATTTTATTTAAAAAGTACTTGATGAGGGGAATATACCTTGTATCAGTATCACAGGCAATAAATTGACCGGGAGGTTGCTTTGGTCTAGCCGGGAGTGTCCGTAATGGGATAGCAATTGGGTGTCAAAAGTTTCTCCCTTCGTAGCAATTAATGATCTTATATAGGTGGAGCGGGGTTATACATGTCGAATATCTACATGCTCTCTATGCGTAATGTGTAGACGATGACTGAGGTAATTATGCCAAGTGTCCTAACGATGCCGATGGCTTGGTGGGACGTCATATGACCACGCATTCTGTCCGGTTAGTGGCGGTGGTGGAGTTAGCTGTTAATGATAGGTGTCCGGTCGGTTTAACTACCTTCTCAACTAGAGGTGATCGAGAACTCGTAGGCCGTCGCAGAATCCAAGTTAGGCATAGGCAGTAACAAGGCGTGCAATGGTCCAAACCATCTTGGGTCGGATCTGGTCGGCGGGTGCGTCTGATGAAGTCGCGGTGCATGACAGTAGTTCTACGGAGCATATTTCCTAGTATTGTATGTTTCATGTGAGGGTTTTACAAAATTTACTAGTAAAAAAATTAATATAAATTTTTATTGAGTAAATTTAATTTTTAGTCATCAATTATTGTAGTATTGTCACATTTAATTTATTTATTTTTTAAATTTGTTAAATTTTTATTTGCTTGTCACAATTAATTATATGTTTAATTTTTTTGATAAATAAATAACAATTAAAAATGTAATGTGATAAAAATAAAAGTAACATACCTAATACAGTAATGTTATAATAGTTCATAGAGTTCTACTACATGTACTCCCAAATCATACTCCTTCAAATTTACTCCTTGATGTGGCGAACACTGATAGGTTATTTTCTTCATGTGGGCCCATGTAAAAGTGTCTATATCAAAATTTGGAATAAGGTTCAAATTGGCCACTGAATGTAACCTGAAAATGCAATTAGGCCACTGAACGAAAAAAAAAGTGCAATTAGGCCACTGAACACTCCAAAAATGTGCAATTTCACATGATAGCAGGTTACCCTCAATTTTAGCAGGTTATCTGCTTACGTGGCAGCTGAGTTGACATTTTTTATAAATTTTAAATCATTTTTAATAAATTTTAATAATAAATTTTTATTTAAAAAAATTTAAAAAAAAAATAAAAACGACTTTATTTTATTTTTTATTTAATTTTTTCAATTTTTTATAAAATTTATTATTAAAATTAATTATTAAAAATTATTTAAAAATTATTAAAAATGTCAACTCAGCTGCCACGTAAGCAGATAACCTGCTAAAATTGATGATAACCTGCTATCCAGTGAAATTGCATACGTTTGGAGAGTTCAGTTGCCTAATTGCGCGTTTTTGAAGTGTTCAGTGGCCTAATTGCACTTTTTGTTCATTCAGTGGCCTAATTGCATTTTCAGGTTATGTTCAGTGGCCAATTTGAACTTTATTCCTCAAAATTTTAAATATAGAAGTAAAAGTTGAGAGTAGAGAATGGGAGTACATATAGTATTTTCCTAGTTCATAACTAAATGTGGAATTTACTTAATTTTTTACTTCGTCACAACGACTCAACCTTGGCGCCAAAAGCTTACAACTTGTTCAGACTTCCTCTCACTCTCACAGCACACTCTTATCACCTTCATCATTCTTCCTCAACTTCCAACACAGCGATCTCTTCAATAATTTCACAAATGTCAGCGACGAAATCGAGCGCGAAGAAGCGAGTTTCGGAATCGGAGCAGCCGAAACCGGAGGTCATGAAGCGAGCCATCCTCGAAGAGGACTTCGATGCCGATCTCTCCGCGTTCGATTTTTTCTTCAGTTCTTATTTACGAGCCGATTTTGTACTTCTTATTTTGACATAATTTGTGCGATATTGCAGAGATATCACTGTTCTAATGTCGGCATTGAAGCAGATAAAAGAGAAAGCTCATAAGGACGATCAGAAGAAGAACGAAGAGGCGATTTCAAGGTGAACCACTGTGATTTTCATTTTCTCGCAACTAAATTTTCAACTAAGCACTGAACTGTGTATATGAATTTACTGATCCAAAAACTTAGATATGGTACTTGCTTTTAAAGTTTATGTCCATTTGAAATTGTTATGATGCGCGTATCTATTTTATGATTTATAGGTAGTTAGGGATAACATTACTGTAAAGGTTTGATTTGCTAATTGGTAAGTATCTGAGCATTTGCAGATTGTTGTGTATAGCTTATTTCATGCGAGCACATCACTGGCTATGTTCTTAAAAGTGTAAATTATAGATTCTATTTCAAAACAATTCGTACAATTAACTTATATTGAATGCATTTGTTTTGTTTAGTGTGTACAGTTTATTCTTGCTTGCTATGAATCAGTTTTTATTAACATCTGTCTAGTCTTTTAGTTGAGGATATGGGGAAATGGATTCTGTTCTGATCTCTTTTTGTTTTGTATTTGAGGGAATTACTTAAAGTTGTCTGGATTGTGTAATTTCTCATCTTCCTATGTTGTCTTTGATTTGAGAACTGAATGAGGTTAAAAGATCCATGAAGACTTTCCTTAGTGTAGATTTCTGATCTTCGTGCCTCCCTGAATTTCACAACTCTAGAATCTCTCAATGAACTTGAACTTCTTATCTAGCATGCTCTTGGTTCCATCCAATGCTCCAATGGATTTGTCACTGGATCACTCTTAACTCTGTCATTCTTTATTCTTTGATAGTGGTTTTTCAGAAATCAAGTCAAATATTGAAGATGTGAAGTCCAAACTTGAGAAAGAAAGGTAAGAAGAAATTCATATGTGGCATTTATTTCAAATTAGGGTATCATTTGTCATATACTGCAATCTCTGATTGCTACTTTATGCGTGTGATCTCTCAGGCAAAACTTTTCCAAGGCACTCTCTAAGAGCTCAAAAGAGGTCTGCATCACAAGGATTAATTGCACTTGTTGGACTTCATGTGGAGCATTGCACTTTTATCTTCTACTTTGAATATATTCTGCTTGCTTACTTGCAGTGTGAGAACTTATTGAAGAATGAAAGTGCCAAGTTCCAAGCAATCTATGAGAAGTTCAGCAAGGAGAAGGCTACCCATCTGCATACTCTGCAAGGTACATTTATTAAATGGCTTTTATTGGATTGTTGTTTTGGTTTTGGATATTGTAAGCCTAATTTTGAGAACATTATTTTCATGCAGCATTGAGAATTTTTCTGATATATTTGTCACTATGAAGTAATGCACTGATGCAAATTTAATTGGACTATAATATAATTGCTTATGGTTCATATCAAATTTTATGTATACTGACTGCATTGAGGACATTTTACAGATGCTGTGAACAAGTATGAGGAAGAAAAGGAAAAGTTATTCGCACGATATGAGCAACTAAGTGAGTAAAGAAATGATGTCTTTCCTGTTTATACATTCAGAAATTAAGAGACTAAACCCCTCAAATGGAATCAGGGAAAAAGGAGAAGATTATGTTATCTGAACTTGAAAAAGGCACTTCAAAAAGATTGGCTGAACTAGAAGAGTCACTGAAGAAGAAGAAGAAACAGGTGAACTAATGCACTCTCTTTCTCCACCACCCCACACAATCTTCCTCTGTCTCTCTCTCAAACTCTCACATGTCATTGTTCTTGTGTTCCACAGGATGATAAAGCATTTAGCTCCCTGAGAAAGAAACTAGGTTCATTTCTGGACAACCCTTCTGATGAGGACTTCCTACTTGATGACTAAAAGTTTAGGAGTTCCGCACTGCATAGTTCTGTGTACGGAATTCCGTTTGCAATTCATATTGTTTTCACTGTTTCAAAGCTCAAGTTACTCTGTAGCAGACTAGCAGTCATCATGAATTTCCCCAAAGTATACGTGCCCTATTACCCTGGTCACATACAACTATCGATTTATTGCCTAACTGTTACCATGGTCAGATGCAATTATCGATTTATTGTCTAACTTCCTTTGAACGAACAGTTTAATTTCAGTTGGTTCCCGCCAGGAATGGTCATTTAGTCGGCCTCTAATTGCAATTAGCTTCTTTTGTTAGATTAAACAACAGAGTCAGATGTGGTTTTAGAAATCACTTAAATGAAAGATGTATTTTATATGCAGGGAATGGATTCCAGATTTTAGTAGCCATCTCTTCGAATATTGATTATTCGTGATTTTTCTGTTGAAAAATAAAATGGACCTAGTTTCCAGAAACATAAAACAAAATTTCCATCTATTTCTGTCGGGAAATATATCTTGATACAAATATGTTAGTATTTCACATAACATTAGAATTATACAAAGCTTTCCAGTTTCTTGTCATCGTCCTGCGTGCACTATTGCAGTAAAAAAATAATAATGGCAAATATAAAAAAGGCTCTGGTGCAACCTTATGCTCCTTTCTTCTTTTGGTCCTTCGCTTGTTTGACATCCTTTGTAAGCATTCTTGGTGCTATGGCCATGGCCATGAGCTCTTGGAACAATAACTTGCATGCATAAGGAATATGAACCTGAAAATTTTCAGAAAAAAACACCATTAAATTCAACACGAAGAGAAGGGGAATAAGCGGTCAAGGGTGCTTGCCGGGTAGAATGAACATTAAAATGTGTACCTGGACAATATCGGTCTTGTTCTTGCAGCCTCGGCATTCAAAAGAGCTCTTCTTGAGGTTTGCTATAGCAATCAAGCCACAGTGTTCACAAACATGAACTCTATATGCATCACTTTGGTCAAACAATCTTTCTTTCAGAAAATGAGCAGCACCATGTGCAATCATGCAATCTCGTTCCATCTCCCCAAACCTGAGACCACCATCACGTGATCGACCCTCAGCAGGTTGCCTTGTGAGAATCTGCACAGGACCTCTCCCCCGAGAATGAATCTTGTCATCAACCATGTGCTTCAACCTTTGGTAGTATGTGGGTCCAAGGAATATCATAGCAGTAAGGCGTCGCCCTGTGTGACCATTGTACATGGTCTCAAAACCACGCATCTGGTAACCACATTTGTGCAGAGCTTTGCTGATGTTGTCCACAGTAACATCCGTGAATGGAGTAGCATCTCCTTCTTTTCCCATGTGTGCCGCAACTTTCCCCATGATACACTCGATCAGCTGACCAATGGTCATCCGAGAAGGAATAGCATGAGGGTTCACAATAATATCAGGAGTGATGCCTTCCACAGTCCAGGGCATGTCTTCTTGTGTATATGTCATGCCAACTGTTCCCTTCTGACCATGCCGACTGCTAAACTTGTCTCCAATCTGAGGGATTCGAATTGATCTAACCCTCACTTTCACAAACCTTAAGCCATCAGCATTAGTCGTTAGTAGAACCTGGTCAACCATACCAGTTTCACTATGACGCAAACTGGTACTATGGTCACGCTTAGTGTAACGGGCATTTTGGCCTTGAGCATCATCCTGGGAGATGGGAGTAGTTTTCCCAATAATCACATCCTCACCCGAAACTCGAGTTCCAGGTGGGGCAAGACCGTCATCATCCAACTTATCATACGAACCATGTCTCATTCCCATAGTATTAGCCCTGTCAGGGCGTCCAAAGTCCTCTTTGACCAGTGTGCCCATCTTTTTCTCTTCATCCCTATATGAGCGGAAAAATAAAGATCGGAAAAATCCACGATCAATTGATGACTGATTCATAATGACAGAATCTTCTTGGTTATATCCTGAATAACAGGAAATGGCAACAATGGCATTAATGCCAGCAGGTAGCTGCCTGAAGTGCAAGTGTTCCATGGCTCGAGTGGTTACAAGAGGCTTCTGAGGATAATATAGCACATAGGCCAATGTGTCCTGTAATTTAAAAACTTATATAAGTTCCGGGAATGGATTATGAATATAAAACATTGAGTATGTACATAAAAATGCAATCTCATACCATTCGGAATTGGTAGTTGGTCACATAAATTCCCATGGCTTGCTTACCCATAGCTGACTGGTATGTATTACGGGGAGACTGAAAGAATTAACAGTACTTAAGACGACACAAATAGCATATGTATAACGAAAAAAGGGGGGGAAATGATAACTATAATAAAATACCTGATTGTGGTCAGGAAATGGAATAATTGAAGCACAGACGCCCAAAATTAGTGAAGGATGAATCTCACAATGAGTGTAGGTAACAGAATAAGCCTCCCCTGGATTAAGCCTTGCTTGTATGAGATCCTAGAAAAATTAAGATCGGCATATCAGCAGCATGTAGAATCTTAATGGATGTTCATCCATTAACACAAGACTGTTAGCCATTCTTTGCTTGCTTACATTAATGGTCATGCTTATCATAGTTGTTTCTTCCTCTTCAGTGTCAATGTACTCGATAAATCCCTTGGCCACCAGGTCATGCCAACCACCTTCCTCTGGAGATTCCTGGGGAAAAAAGAATAGTAAGTGAATAAATTTAAAGAGGACAACACAACCAAGACTATGTGGTCTAATGGTATCCAGGTTGGACTTCCATTTGGAAGATTGTGAGTTCAAGCCTCAGTGGGGGTGTTATCGGTTCTTTGTGTTTCAGTAGGTTGAGAAAGTATATGAACAAATACTACATTGTTATAGAGCCAGTAGCATTCAAAAAAAAAAAAAAAAGACCCAAAGACCCACCAACTGTCAAACTAAGTGAATATTAACCATCCAAAATGGTATTTTCCTGTGTGCTATGCTGCCAAAAAATTACAACATACCCTTTGTTGCAATGCTTGAATATCTCTCTTCCTAATGAGAAGCCTTTGCTTCTCCACAATGAACAATGGACGACTGCAGCGTCCATAGTCAGTGTAGATCCGAAGTTCCTTCAAACGGATATCTCGAACTACACCAACCTCAGTATTGACATCAACCTGCACATTGCCAAAAATACACACAACAAAGTATTTTAGAAGCAAACAAAAGTATAAATTTAACTGATGAATTCAATCTTGTAGAAACACGATACTTGCAAATAAAAGGGCAAAAGTACATTTAGTGCCTTTTTTGGATGAATAAAACAAATTGTGATAAAAAAAAAAAAAATAGTTTCAATGATAGAAGTGCACATTAAAATTTTAAAATAAGAAGGTAGTGGTTAACAGATCAAGCTTCTAATGGCAAATGGTTACAGTTTACGAGTAGAAATGTGTTCAATATGAGACTTGAAATCGTATTCTCACCCGTCTCCTTAACCGTCTCAGTGTTCTCACCAACATATCTGGGTCACGATGAATTCCAACCCAACCACCATTGACAAATATCTTCGTAGCTTGTGGAATGACAGCAGGAGAAATTTCCTGCAATCAGAGAAGTTAATGCGAAACCACAAAAGAACACAAATGTTACAGCCACCACTTAGAAGTAAAATTTACTAACCTCAAAGTTCTCAGTGCCCCATTCCTCCAAAAACTCCAAAATTGGATATGCTGCTGAACCAACTGTTATATACACCATTAATGCTAGATTCTTCACCAGTCCACATGCCTGATAACATCGCACAAAATACCACAAGTAATTTAGCATAAATGAAGAATAATAACCCCCACCCAATGTGTACAAACTCCACATAAAATCAACTACTGACTTGTCCTTCTGGTGTTTCTGCTGGACACATCATCCCCCATTGTGAATTGTGTAATTGCCTGGGTTTAGCTAGTTTCCCTGTGAAATGAACATGAATCACATAGTGATAGTGAAGATCATAGAAGAGACTCAGAGATAGCAAAACCAGCAAAACATGAGGTGTCAAACTGCACCAAAATGTACTAGTGGACATTCCTCACCCTCTTTCCCACTTTCCACCCCCCATTTCACCCCAACCCCCAGCTCAAAAAACATAAAGACAAAACAAACCAGATATAAGAAAAATTTTAAAAATAAGGACCAAGTGTGATGGATCTACACAATTACCAGGACCAACAAGGGGAATTACCTTCGCGGCCTATTGGGGAATTTAACCTTCTCAAGTGTGACAAAGTTGAGGCATAAGTCAAGCGATTCAACACCTGAAATATCACAAAACATAACTACTCATCCAGAAAAAGGAATCCAAATAGCATTTCAAAAAGATGAGTTGCAAGGAGCATAACCTGAGAAACACCAGCTCTTGTACCTGCAGCATTAGCTTGGCCCCAGTTTCCAGTAGCCAGTGAGTACTTAAGGCCACTTGTAATGGTTTTTGCTTTAATTGCAAATTGCAGATTAACATCTTTACCATTATCAACACACTGAGAAGCAAATTAATAAATAAGGCCAAAATTATTATTCCATATTATTGTCATTGATATATACAGTGAGGTCAGTACACTTGAAATTAAGGTGCAGATAAATTTTAGAAGAGAAATAAACCTTCTGAACATAAGATCTAACATCACGAGTTAACTTCCTGAAAAGCTGCATAAATAATGAAACCAAAAAAAATAAGGAGCCATTTGAGACTGATAACATATAAATACCAATATAAGAAACCCAACAGACCATTCGAAATAAACCACCAAGCAAAGGACCAGCAAGATCCAATCTCTTGTTGCCATAATGATCCCTATCATCCTCAGCCCTTCGGCCAATTGCACACAACAGAAGCCGGTGGATGATATACCTGATATGTGCCGAGAGTAATATCCTCTTAGAATGCACTACCACTACAACCTCAAAGATAGATTTAGAGTTAACAGAAAACTTACCCAAAATAGTAAGCTTTCTTTGTCTCACAATATTCTCCAACCCCAACATGAGGAAGCATTTCTTTCTGAAGAATATCTTTAGCATACCTATAAGGTAAAATTGAGAAGGATCGCTGTAAATTAAATTTAAACAGAAGGTCAGGAAAAGGCTAAATCCAAGGTTAAGCATACTTGATTCTCTTCTCCTTAGTAACACCAACAGTAGCCCCTCTCTTCCCAATATAATCCAGAGCAACCTGATCATATTATAAACACAATTAATACAATGAATAAGAAAGTAATGGAACTTGCTCAGTTAACCCTAGTTCAGGAAAGAGAGCACAAAATAAAATAAAACATGAAATGCCATAGCAGGTACCTGTTGATTCTGAATGACAAATGCTTCTTCCAAAGAGGGCCGCAGCAACTCCATCATTGGTGTATCATTAAAATCATAGCAGATATGTTCCAGTATATCTTTGTCAGCGACAAAACCTAAAGCTCGGAAAACAATTATAATAGGAATTTCGGTCCTGATATATGGAAGTGTGGCACGAATATATTGACCAGAAGAACCCTGCAAACACAGACATGGAGGAAGTAGTTGAATACATCTGAACTGCCTGAGTGAAAGTATGCACCATTTAATGAAGAGTCAAATGTCTCCTTTCTTTTCCTCATTATATTATTATTATTATTTTGTAACAAGTAGTGACATAAGTTATTCAGAATCCATATTACCCCTTTTGCACTAGTTCGTGAGAGCATCCGCACAAACATAGTACTTGGTGGTCTGTTTTGAGACTCTGCCATTGACCGGACTTCTGCCACATATGCATACTTGTTTGGTTGCCTCTTCTTAAACACATAGACATGATTTGTACTCATCTTTTCCTGAGCAATTAGAACCTTCTCACTCCCATTAATTATGAAATAGCCACCTTGATCATATGGACACTCCCCAAGCTCAGTCAAATCTTTCTCTGAATTTTGATACAATGTGCAATAACTTGATCGAAGCATAATAGGAACCTACATGTCCAGAAAGAACAAGTTAGATCTCAATAAACCAAATCAAGTAGAGTGACCAATCAAGAAACTCCATCAAGCCTACAGTTCATTCACCTTCCCAATGAAAACTTTAGTGAAGTCCTGAGTTTCAGTAACTTCTTCCCCATCATGCCCTTTCTTGATGACTCGCTTTGAGACATCCACATAGAGAGGAGCAGAGTATGTCAGATTCCTTAACCTTGCAGCTTTCGGGAATAAGGTTGCAGTTTCACCATCTGACTCTGTCATCATTGGCTTACTAAGATAGATTTGACCAAAATTGATTTTGTAGATAGTCTGCAAAGTAAATCCATAAGTCATGTTAACTGCTTTTCACATTTTCAGCTGAAAATCATGATCTTTATGATTTTAGCATAAAGTCAAAAACTCAGAATGCAATAGCAACAAAGTTGAGATTAATAATTTAATAGATAACTGAGCTTCATTTCAGACAAATCCGTGATATGTGCCAAATGACTCTGATTTGCATAATTTTGACTAGTTTCAATCATGGAAGGTGTTTGAACAACTATCCCGATAATCCAGGATCCAATACCACCTCAATTGAACTGAAACCTAAAATACTATCTTATAATATCCATTTAATGTTTAAAGTTCCACGTAATTTAAGATGTTCACAACTAAATTTGTGGTGTAACACTCAACTGCATACTATTAGAGCTGAAAACTTGGCCAGTCCTCTCTTTTAGTGACAAAGAGCAAGACTGACTAATTTTTATAGCAAAAACCACTGAACTTTCCATCATCCTCCTTCAGCACTCTGAAAACCCTAGACACCAGACTACTTAGGCAGAAGCTTAGTCCTAGCAGTCTTAACAATAGTTGTCAGCTTCAACTATAAAGATCCGATTTTTTAGTCCCAAATTCCAAGAACCCTAAATACAACGCAGACAACTAAAAGATTGAGACATTTTACTCACTAACCAAAAAGAACCCACCAACATCTATTGAGAGTAACCACCAGAACTACTTTCTAGTAACTTCAACGTATCCACAGTGTGCAAATTATCTTTTGCAACAAACCAGTCACCCCAATTAGAACTTAATTACACATGTTCCGTGGACCGACCTCGGCGAAATCGGACTGGTGTCCGGGGTTGTGCTGGGACTCGGGTCGGATCTCGATGTCAGCGGACTCGTCAACAATTTCCTGCATAGTGTTCTGGATGAACTCATCGAAGGAGTCAAGCTGTTGCCTCACCAGACCTTTCTCCTCGAAGTAGGCACTTATCACCGCCCACGCGTCCTCCTGCGTTATCTCTTCCTCGTCGTCGTTGTACTGCTGCTCATACTCCTCCTCCTCCAAATCCATGGCTTTAAATTTATTTTCTCTTTTCCTGTACTGGTTATTCTAACTTCAAGTTCAGTGGAGTTCAGATTGTGATGTTACGTCCAAACACCGTAGAGAAATGAGCCGGTATTCTCTGATCGAGAGTAGCTATGTCCAAAAACCCTAGAAAAGGGGGCCGCTTCTCTGTATGTTTCTTACCTTGGTCGTCTACTGGTCCGCAGAGAAAAGAAAGCGGAGAGACACGAAGAGGGGAAAGAAAGACATTAAGACCGCAGTGCGCTATATATATCATTGTGGTCGGAAATGTCAAACCGTCATAGCGAAAAATATAAATGGAAAAGCGTCACACTAAATTCGTGAATTTAAATTGAACAAATTTCACTGTCTTTTTAAAAATAAATAAATGAATAAATAAAATCAACTAAATTAAAAAAACAAAACAAAACAAAAAAAACCTCAGAATTTCATTAGAATCATCCAGTATAGAGCATTACAAAGGAAAAGAGAGTGGTAAACTCCTCGCGATATGACTAGTAAACAAATTTTTGAGTTTTTAAGAGAACAGTCTGATTCACTATAATTCATTTATAGTTAAAATAAGCTCCTGGTATTCTCTCAGGTCTGGATTGACACCCCACACGAGTGTATTGCTCATTCAATTATTTGATTAATGAGAGTATTTAGTTACTTTCAAAATAAAATATTCCGTAATTAAAATGAGCTCTACCAAAAATAACCATAACGATTAACAAATAAAATATCAAAATGAGCAAATTAAATCAACATATCTTTTACATCAAGTAAAATCAAAGCGAAAGAAGAAACTCATATAGCAAAACTTAGGTCTTGAACGACAACCTGCATCTGATTCCACATGAACATATTTCAATTGATGTTATTTCAGAAATTTAGAGTTTCTCGTAAAGCAATGGCCATAATATCTTTTGGTGTACACGCTTCCCAAGGGTGTATGCTGCAACAATATAATATTGAAACTTCAAAATTTATAAAGAAAGACCAACAAAACCCTATTTTACCTCCACACTTATTAATCGCGACATTTACTTCAAATTTGAACCAGCCTAAATATGGTTTCTTACTAACAGAGAAACTTTATGCATCGTTTTCATTGACTTTCCTCCCATCCCTAAGGTAGGTCGTATTTATTTTTTTCACTTGTAGTCTTCGACAATTGTAATGTTGTCATATTTAGTTATTTTCTTTTAATTTTATCATATTATATCATTGATTTTTATTTGGGAGAAGTGTCAAATAGGCTCATCTACTACTGGCGAAGTGCTCAATTCCCACCACGAACTAAATTAAGTGTCAAATAGGTCCATCCACCCGCTAAATTTGTTCGATTGACTTTTTTTGCAGGTTGCTAACAAGTTACCTATTCAATTAGTAAAAAATAAAATATATATATATATATATATAACAAAAAAAAAAATCAACGCGCCGACAGCCGGTGGCTGCGTATTTCACAAACAGGCGTGGCTGTCCGGCAGTCTCTCAGTAACACAATAACCTGAGGAGGAGTCTTCCTTTGGATTAGAAAAGGATAGATGTTAATGGTGAAATTCCTTTATTACCTTCGAATTTAACAGACTTTAAACCCCAAACTTAACGTAGGACCATATTGGTTAATATTTACAATGTCGAGGACTTTATTGGGTAAAAAAAATAGTTGAGAACCAAATTGGTAATTTCGCAATAGTTAATGGACCATTTTGGTAAATAACCATTAGATAATTGTTATTTTCGTATCTAATTTTACCTGTATTCGTATTTCGTATATCTTAATTCATATTTTTCGGTCCTTTTTGTTAATTGATATTTTCATCCATAAATAATGTGCAAAATGTCAAACAATGAACAAACAAAAAAAAAAAAAAAAATCCAAAAACTAGAGATGAAAAGGATAAACTTGATAAAAGCTTAAGAACGAAACACGAGCAAAAACAAAAACTAGAAATAAAAATAACAATTACCTAACAAGTCAGATGACAAAAATTACACTTTCCCCAACTCTAGATTAATAGATCCCAATGTGATTACTGTAGCTAACATTTTCCTTCATCACATTACTTTCATCTTAACCCTCACACTCATCAAAGAATATGAAGATCAGTAGCAGATGGGCCTATAAAATGCATCAGAAAATGAAAAAGTGATGGATTCCATTCATGAACTGATAAATATTCTCTTAGTTACAAGCAATCTTAGTGTGTAATTGCTAAGATATAATGATTCTAAGGTCAAAACAATGGTTACCAGCTCTGAGGATATGCTGGCAAATCCATGAGAAAATTATTAGAATCAGATATATATACAAAAAATGTACTCTGTATAAATTCTGGGTTCTGTAAAAAATCTCTGTATATGTATATCTGAAAAAACAACCTCTTACACTCATCTCATCAGCACAACTCCTAGCCCGGCATTGATATTCTTGAGACAGGGAAGGAGATAACTAAGAAAATGGCTGAACAAAATTTCAACTTAAGGGTCACACTGATATTCTTACTACTTCTGGCAAAGAACTCCGGTGGCGCCTGGATCGCCTGTCTCTTCTGTGCCTACCGGAACTATTTCTAACCGGGCTGCTATGATTTGAAGCCTTAATAGATTCATAAACAACGGGTGGGGGGTGGATGACTGCACTATCACCGAGTGGAGGCGGATGCACCCCCTGCTCAAGAATATCTCTATGGTACCCCTGCACAGCAGCGAAAAGTTGGAAATTTCAAAAATTACGTACATTTTCCTTGGCCAGCGTATAATGGAGATATAAATTAAAACTCAACCTGTATTCGAGATTTCAGAAGGGTAGATAATTTGTCTGAAGTCATGTTAAATTTTTGGGTTTCAGGATGCTCAGTTATGGGCATCTCCACGATTTGTGGTTCGTTCTTTGATCACATAAGGAATGAAATTAAAAGCGAGGAAAGAATTTGAACTAGGATTACCTGGACCACAAAGTTGCGTCTTTCACAGTCTAGGAACATCTCGACGGTCCAATTTGTCCTGGACCTGATCCTGTCCCTTACAGTAGAAAAGCTAATCTGGTCTCGGGGAGTAAAACGGTCCACTTCATTAAACCAAAGACAAGTAAAGAGGTTGGAAATTGGAATATGCTCACGAAGAATAACGCATCCCTCTGGAACATCTGCAATTGATCAAATATGAAAAGGTTAGCGATCAATGTCATTGCCAAACTAAAGGCTTCTAGTAACTACAGCACGGGGAAAAGAATGGGAAGAGAAGGATCCAACCCATACCACTTGTTATTGGGAACTTAGCTGCAGAGAATGGTGTAAGGCCCTCTTTTTTATAAAATTCAATCTGGAAATCAATGGAGGCGTTGTCAAACTTCCCAGCAGCTTTATTAGCCTCTGCTTCCACAAACACATCAAAACGCCTATAGTGCCTTGATATAGCAAAGCTGGCATTTTTTCTCCACAAGAACCTGAGATATAAACTTCTTCCATCACACCAAAAGCCGTATTTAAAAGGAACCTGTTGTCTCTACTACAATTCTAGCATATAATAAATCCTTAACAGTTCTTTGCACTGGATACAATCACCATATACCGATCTCTTAAGTATTAGAAGTTGTTCATAGAATCAAATGACTAGCAAGTTCCTGAAGCTATAGCTTTTAGTATGTACCTGCTAGCTACAACATATGGTTCTTGAATTATGATTATTTGAATTGATAATGAAATGATATATATGATGTCCATAATATGCAAAACTTGTGCCTTCTAAGTTCTAAGTAATATCTGATATTATCATTTCTTGCATCCCGCAAATACATTTCAGTAGTCTCATTTCTTAAAAGACATAGCTATTTAATGGGCATTCACTTCCAATTAGGGCAATAATATTGATCGCAGATTTGATTAAAATGCTTAAAATTGCAGTTTGTTGACTCGGCCTTTTCTGATTTAAATTTTGAATATGTACCCAACTATGTTTTCATTCTCTTTTTCTCTTTTTGAAAGTGTAATACAAAACTCTAAAAGGAAGTACCTTTCAAGTAGTTGATATGGATCCACAACCAGTTCAAGTTTTCCATCAATCCAGAGAGAATACCGCGCATTTGGAAATAGTCTATGAAGTAGAAGCTTTGGAATCTGCAGTTAACAAAAGTGGCAGACCAAATAAAGAATCTACAAGTAACACAGCTCCAATATAGCTGAAACCTTAACTAGTCATTGAACAACATGAACTGGCTTCTTAAAAAACAAATATTAAATAATAATCAATTCTTTTTAATTAGTCGATGGCCTGTGAGTATATAGCATAAAGCAAAAGCACAAGGGAAAGGATTGGATCTGATGACTAAAACTGTCATTATTTGTGCAATGATTAGCATGAAAGATTCAATCACCCAAAGCTTGCTTCTTGAATTTGTTGTTACCTTAACTAAAAACCATTTCCAAGAACCTGTCGCCTCAATTTGTCAATTTTGTAAACTCCATGACCAATAACTTTCAATCTATTTTACCATGGTCTGTTAAACTAGCAAATATACCAAAAAACATTTACCTTCCCATTGCGCCTTGCATCACTGTAAGGTAGCTTATGAACAACAACAATTCTCCACAATCCCAATCTCATACTACTATCCAAGTCACTGGAATTTCTTAGAAATTCTTCTGTTTCATTGTCCACAAACATATAAAAGCACACGTTTTTCTTGGCATATTCACTTATGTTCATCGGTTGTCGAACTAAATCAAAAGCTCCTGTCAAGATGCACTTATCACATCAATAAGCCAGTAGAAGTAATATTAAAATGGAAATGTAAATTAAGTTAAATAGAGGTCAGTACCAAATATTGCTGATGCAACCACCACACCTTGACAAGTTTCCATCTCATCAAGGTCAGAATCAACAATGTTAAAACCTGTATCATGTCCAAGTCTGACCCCTTTGACAAATCTGCAATGTAAAAATGGAAAAAAGAAAAAAGAAAAAAAAAAAAAAGGACTGGTGAAGAAAGAACTTGGTAAAGAATTATTCCACCAGACATTCCCAAGTTCAACATAACATACCCACAATGGACATTCATTGACTCTCTTGTATCATAGGAATCTTCCCTCTGACTCAGTGAAGGATATCCACCAAATTCTGAACCTCCAAACTCACTTTTAACTAAATTTTCTTCATGTATATAAGTTAAATCCTTAACTATAGGAGAAAATGATGGTGCATTTGGCATTAACGCAATAGCTTCTTCAACAGGAAGGTAGCACACCGGACATGCTGAAAAAACAAGAAAATGTTCAGAGCAATACTTTGCAACTAAGATTTTACATGTCTTTTATCAGAACTTTACATCCCAAGGCCATAGTGTTTTAACACATAACGAAATTTCAATCAAGCATCTCTGAACTTACGTCGTGGTCCAGTCCTCTTCTTATCTGCTGGCGGCGGAGGTAATGTGAAGCCTTCACAAGGGTTGCCGGGAGGAAGTGTGTATCCAGTAAAATATACAGGGGGGAGTGGAGGCTGTCCTGCAGCTGCAATTCCTCCAATACTATTTCTTTTAGGGGAAAGACTATTTTTTTGTTCAGGTTCTTTAAAAAATTCTCTATTTCTGATAGTATTATTAATATTGATGTTTGGAATTCCAGGTCCCTGTGAATCTTCGCCTACAAATATGACAAAATTTTAAAATATAGTTAGACAAGAAGCCATCTCTATCTCTGAACATGTCCTCAGCCATCATGTTACTTTCAGAGTTCCAGTAATGTATAAGAAGACTACACGAGATACAATATCCACATAATACAATGCATATTGTTCATACATTCATCTTCAATTCAAACTTTAACCAGCTTAAAAGCTGTAATCATATAATTGTTCAGTTGGATCAAAATACACAAGAATGATGAGTATTGAGTGGTGCAGTGAATATGCAAAAGGCAGAGCTGCAACTTTGAATTAATTGTGGAAATCTCGGAACACGATTGAAAAGATAAGAAACCAAACCTTTGCCAACATATAAGACCCAAACAAAAACTGCAGCAGAAACAGCAGATAAGAGCAGCATGCCAACCTTCTTTCGAGGCGCAACTTTGCAGATCCAAACAAACAATCCTTCTTTCTCCTTAAACATCTTGGGAGGCTTTCTTGGTGGGATAGGTGGTGTAGTTTGGGTTGCCACTGAAATATTCTGGAATTGCTGCAAAGATCCATAACTCCCTGAAGCACGAAGACCCAATGACCCTGTAGTCATTGTTGTCTGCTCAATCCCTCCCACTTCACCTTACATCCCCTCCTCTTCTCCTACACCCTCCAACTATTATCCCTCTCAAAATTCAAGAATTTCAATCAAAGCTTGAATCTTTACACTCAATGCCGCAATGTTTTTCCCACAGAAAACCCCAGCAAGAACAAATTAACACCACAAAGCTAACTCGCACAGAGAAAACTCAATTCATCAAGAAGATCAGACCGACATCCTAAATTATCTCTAAACCGAAATCCACCCCTCTTTCAATCTGTTCAGAATCAATGACAATGACCCAGTATCAAACTATCAATGCTGGTAAATATCACGGATGCATTGCTCAAACATATACAGACGGCCCCATCAACACCGCATAGTACAGATACAAGCAGATGCAATTATGCAATCACTTTCCAAAGAAAAAACAAAGTACTATAAAATAAATTAAATCATTCAAACCACACTTCTATTCTTTGACCCGCCAATCAAACTGTAATTGGGGGTGAGAAAATTTTCACTGGAATCGAGATGTTAGGAGTGTGGATTCAAGGGTTTTGCGGGAATGTGAACAAATCTTCAGATCACGCCTCACGGTCTAAGTTTCCATTTTTGGCTGCTTTGTCCGTAAAAATAAAAGAAAATAAAAATTATTATTAGTGTCAAATCAAACAACATACGCAATACCAACTATAGGTTATACTATGAATGACTCCGTATAATTTTTCATATCAATTACGGAGTATTTTTTAACTTAATTAATTTTCATAAATAAAATTTATTACAAATAAAAATGAAAATTCTGAAAATACTGTGTTCTTCATATACTGATTCCACAGTAGGAAATTACTGGCAAAAAAAAAAAAAAAAAAAAAAAAAAAAAGAGAGAGAGAGAGAGATATGACGTATAGATTGGAGCTAACGTGCGCCATGTGCGCGTGAGGTTAGCCGGCGGTCGCTAACTCATGAGCGCATCATTATTCATTAGATGGCGCCATTTAAACAACAACCCAGAAAACAATATTCGGCCTCACTTATGACGTCACCAATAATATTTTTTAATATACTTTCGAACTCGAAATTCCATAAAATCAAAATAATAATTTTTAAAAAATAATTTATACGGAGTAATATCTTTCAGCACCATTCACCAATACTATTTACAAAGAGTAATATATGCTTTTTTATCTTTTATTATTATACTTGGTATTATCAATTTTCTGTACAATTCAATATTATTATATTTAGTATCGATTGGTACATGATTCGAATATAAACATGCTAGATAAACGATTTTTTTTTTTTTTGTGATAAGAAAAATTTATAGTCACTATTCGATATTTTGCACCGAGTAAACATGGACTTATAAAATATTGTGGTTATTAAGTCAATCGTCTAACCAATTTGGTTAGATTTACCCTCTAGATAACTGACTTTTATTCTTTGTTTAGGATTCCCTCTCTCCTGTTTCAAAAAGAAAATATTTTGTTTTGCTAAATTATAAAATTTATGGGGTTTAAATTTTTTTAAACAAAATAATCAAATGAATATTTTAAACATTAAGCTCAATTGGAATATTGTAATTTCATTTAATGAAAACGGAAGAAAATAAAGTAAAAGAAGAATAATAATGGCAACCAAGTGACCAACTGTCCAATTCCTTCTGGCATGTGCGGGCATTTAATTTAAAGTCTCAATGCCAAAACTGCCAATTCAACCTAGAGGGGACTAGGGACAATAAATTGAACATAATAGGAAAGCTATAAAATTTTAATTAATTTATTTATGAAAATGTTAATTGTCTTAATTAAAGGTGACTTGTGATACAATGATTAATTAAGAATAATATTATATTCATATAAAAGTTTATACATATATGCATTACGATGATGTGTGTTTACGATTTTTAATTTTTATGAATGACTTATGAGTTAGTAGATTCTTTAACCATTAATCAAATTGAATTTTATCGGTTAGAAAATAGTTAATCAACTTTCTTTGATTTGGTTGGTGAACTCATGTTTGCATACCCCTATATAGTATATAATATTGCAGAGCTTATGTAATCCATATTTTATGTTGTCTATTTTTTTTATTAATTGTGGATACATATATACAATGTTATATGTGAAAAAAATTAGCATAAGAAATGTTTAAATGGTCATTTTGAGGTAATGCTTTGAGTGTGGTCCACTTTCGATTTAAGTCATATCAAAATGTATTTGACATTGTTTTAAGTGAGATGTTTAATATGATACATTATACACTAAAAATAATTAAAAAATCTCTAAAAGTACGAGCTTTTCTTAAAAAGTGATGCTCAATGATGTGAGTAATATTAAAAAATATATTGATAAATGATTCGCATCAAGTATATTACGGAGTAAAACAATAAAAAAAGTATTATATTTTTGAAATTGTAAATAAATAAAATGTACACTTTTTTTTTTTTTTTTTGCATTCAAAAAAAATGTACACTTTTTGTTTCGATAAAAATAATAATATAATTTTCATGTCATCATACGTTCGCGACAATGCATTTCTAATTGTCATTGTCGGCTAAGCCAAAGATAATGAAGATCAGACAAAAGTGGCTTTGGTGGCAAGTTTGCTTACATTAGAGAATATTAACACCATCATTATACGCCGCAGCTTCGTCAAATGAGATTATTTTGCCACATATATATATCATACGGAGTATATGCTTTAAAAAAAAAATACTAAAAATCCTGCCATTGTGACCGGAATATACGTTATGAATAAAATTCACTATTGACAACTTTAACAAGTTAATTGAAAATTATAAATTTTTAACTTTCAACCAATTTTTATTTTTTTTTTAGTTTTCATAAAATGAGTCATTTTCTTAAAATAATTTGCTGGATTTTTTTTTTTAAAAAGTTTTCAAATAGAGCATAGTTTTAACAAATTAAAAGTCTTGACTCACATGCATATCGTCTAAAATTCTAAATTTACTTGATGAATTGAATTAGCCAACAAGTTGTAGTGTTTGAAAACCTAAGCAACAAATTGAAGTAAACTAAGATGTTTGACAATGAGGTTTAAACTTAATGTTTGTATACTAAGGTGTTTGACAATGAGGTTTAATCTCATTGTTCCCAAGACTGGTCCATTGGTTTAATAGTAAGGTTTGAATTTCGTTCACTAGCTGGGGAAAGTGTTGAAATTTCATTATCGTCACTCCATAATTACTCAAAGAACTACATTTCATTATCGTCACTCCATAATTACTCAAAGAACTATTGTGAGTGTGTTTTTGACTAAAACCACTTAGTTGCCTATGTTGAGCATACGGAGTATATAACATAAATGTGCAATCTAACTATCAGTTTAGACTTTTAGTTGAGATGGAACACATACTTCAATTTGGTATCAGAGTTACGTGGAGGGGGCGCGTTGAGCCTATAATATAGCTTAGGCTTTTAGTTGAGATAGAGCACATGCTTCAATTGCCTAGACAACTGTTTTATGCATCGCTCATTACACTTTAATATCTTATTAAATAATTTACTATCCGAAAGTACGCATAAGGTAATAGTCCTCAAACAAAAAATAAGAGATAAATCAAGCTAGGAAGACCTTAACTGAATAGGCCAAAAAGTGTTAGTGGAAAATGATACTGCAACCGCGATTTAAAGTTGTGACGTGAAAAAGGACTCACTGCCTTTAATTCTAGAACAATTTTGCTAGCACCTAAATGCAAGGCATAAAGAACGACATTGTTCCCCAAGGTTACATAGTTATTATTTAGTAACGTGCACATGTTATTTACAGTTGGAACACACTACGCATGCACTACTCATATATATATATATATATATATATATATATATATATATATATATATATATATATAGAAGAGGAAAGTAAGTATGATAATAAGGAAAGATTTGTTGTTTTGATGATTTCTAAATGGCAAGTGAAATCCTATTTATAGTAATGCAGGGTGATAGAGACGACAAGATCAAGTTGAACTACTCATGTCTATAACATTACATCAAAGATATCTTGGCACTGAAAAATATAAAAGAAATAAGGAACACAATTATTTGCTCAAATTTAAGCAATGATAACATTAAACACATAAATGATCTAAATTATATCTTTAATTGCACTATATAACATTTAATGTTCTAATTTAAATAATTATATATCGATCCAAATATTATTCTTAATATATTACAACAAATCCATTCCGTGCATTGCACGAGCGAAAATACTAGTTAGCATTAACAAGGTAAACCACATTAGAAAGACGTATCATGTGCATTGAACTTAACTAAAAAGAGCTGTTAGTAAAAATTAAACTTGTGATCTTTTAGTACGATGATCGTGTTTCATTCTCATTTGAGTATGAGCTATTGTTCACACCAATGACTTGAGGTATAATGGTTTGTGTTTGTCCGGCCTCTTCCAGTCCAAGTAAATTTCTTATATGCAAATTCTCTTGTACAAGTTAGGTTAATGTTCACTATATGTTCCAGAACGAACAACTGGATTAGGCTGTCTTCATTTTCTTAGTGCATTCTAGTATACCTTTTCATTGTTTGTATTATTATTGTCCACATAATGACGACTATACTTTTAATTTTATATTATATATATCTTATATATTACAGAAATATAATAATTCTTCCAAAAAATTGAATCCGAACTCTAAAGACCCCCCACACTCCGACCCGACAGAGCATCAGAAATATAATAATTGGAGAGTAATAAAGCGGAGCGAATTAAAATAATATAAGTTAGATTAGAGTTACATATAAATATAAAAATATTATCATTATATTTAATAAAATAACTGATTTGCTCAAATGTTCTTTCATTTTTCTGTTTGTTCTTTCAGCTATTTGGTTTTTGGTGAATTTTATCAAAAAATCAAGAAAGAGCTTGTTAACTAATATGACGGTATTTATTTTTTTTTCTACTAGTATTTGCACCCGTGCGATGCACGGAATTGATTTGTTGTAATATATTAAGAATATATGAATCGATATATAATTATTTAAATTAGAACATCAAATATTATATAGTGCAATTAAATATATGGTTTGGATCGTTTATATATTTTGATGGTATCATTGCTTGAATTTGTGCAAATAATTGCTCAAATTAATAGCTAATGTCTAGATGTACGCATACGGTGCTATAACTTTGAAGATTTTATTTATCATTGTTTAGAATTTTCATAAATTAGTAAAATGTGCTCGTTCTCTGACAACTCAGTTATAGAAATGAATTGGTATCCTTATTCATTTGTATGGAAGATATATTTTTTTGTCCAGATATATAACAATTTTTTCATTTAAAAAAAACTTAATATCACCGATTATATTTACACATTATTGAAACCTCTTTGTAGACGACATTGGTAATGACAACACAATCCTATTCATCTTCGTCTAGAGCTAACACCTTCAATCCATCAGGACAGATTACTTGGATTAAAATATATAGTGGTAGAATATTACTCGATTAGTTATCCTTTTATATTTTCAATCAATTAGTGATATCGGATTCATTTTCAGCCAATTATTCTTTTTTATTTTTAGTCAATTAATCAATTAGAATATCAAATGTAATGATATTTTTACCTAATTTTCGTTCTATTTTTAATTGATGATGTAGAATTGTAGATATTATTATTAAAATATTTCCGTTTCATTTTTAATTCACCTTTACTATTG